GAGGCCAGGTCTCCACAGCCTCCCACTCCTGGACCATCCCATTCTCCATCTAGGAAAGCCAAGGCTCAGAGAGGTCGAGGGATGCGGCCGAGGACACATAACCATGATATGCCGAAACCTCGCTGGAATTAAGCTTCCAGATTGTAAATCCAGGCTGCTTCTGCTTAATAGGGTCCCACATCCTTCACGCTCAGCTGCAAGGCGATGCCTCTTCATGAGCCTGTGCCCACCTCTGATTTCAGCCGCAGCCACAGCTCCTAAGTCATGCTGTGCCTCCACGAAGCACTGTTTGCTGAGTGGGGACAGAAGCATGATGGCTTGTGACAAAGGTCTGGGCCCAGCTTGGCAGCCTCTGATAAGCATTCCTAGCACATGCTGCTGCTGCCCAGTGTGTCCCCTGGCCTAGCTTGCGCTGGGTCTGCAGCTGCAATGGGTGGCTCCCGTCTGGACAGCATCCCACCCAGGCTTGGTCTCTGTTCCTGGTGTGTACGTGGGGCAGGGGTCGGGGGTGTGGACCACAGCCTCTGTCCCCAGGGTCTTCTCTTCCACTACAGGCACAGTCTGGGAAGAGGATCACTACCCCAATGGGCAGCCTTCCCCAGGAGGAGGCAGAAACCTGTGGGAGAATGCCCAGTCCCCCTGCCCCCTGCTAGGACAATTCTGAGGTGTGTCTCCCATAGTTTCTTAGGGGATCTCAAATGAAACCGAGTCCTGTTTGCCTTGAGAGTTCACTCATTCACTCACAATGCTTCAGTGGCCTTTTATTGGTGGGGGGGAATTGAACTCAGGACCTTGCGCTTTCCGGGCAGGTGCTGTTCCACTTAGCTATCTCCCAGCCTTAGTGGCCTTTCTTTCCCTTTCCTGTCTTCTTCTCTTGGGATCACAACCCACTGAAATATTTGTACTGCATCCTCTTCCTAGGTCTCCTGTCGGGGACTCCCCCTTGTGCCTTGTCCCTGAATCCTATGTATTCCTGTATTAGTTAACATTTATCAAATTTCCTTGACAAATACACCCAAGATGCATTGCTCAAGTAAAGCAAAGCCTATACTCCTCAGGGCCCAACCCAGGGCAGGTCACCAGGCAGCATCCTGGGCCAACAGGAAGGGGTTGGGCTCCACTAGCCCAGGGACCCTTGGCTCTGCCCTCATACCAGCTGACTCCCAGGGGGCTCTGGGTACCAGTTTTCCAATCCCGAGAGAAGAGGAAGAGCTTGGAGAAATGTTCTAGAAGTGTAGGATGAGGTCAGAGGTGACACCGGCACTTCCGCTCCTGTTTGCCTGCAACCCTTCACTACTGAGGTGGGAGAACAAGAGAGCATTCTGGTGAACAGTTCCCAGTCCCTGCCGAATTCCTCCAACCCACTTCTTGGAGAAACAAAGCAAACCATAAAAAAAAACCCAAACCACTCCACAGAAGTTTCTACTTTAAACACACTTACTGTATTTTACTCTTCATTTTGTTTTGTAATTTTAGGCAACCGAGGGATTGGGTCTCTGTTTTGCAAAGATGAACTGTTGAAGGCCTCTCTGTCGCTGTCCCATGCCCGCTCTGTGCTGGTTACCACCGGGTTGCCCACACATTTCACTCATGACCCTCCCAAAATAGACAGATGGTCCCCCAGAAGCCATTGCTCTGGCCACCTTCCTGCAGGCCCTGGGGAAGGAGGTCTCCCTGGTGGTTGACCAGAGAGCCTTGACCTTGCACAGGAAGCTTTTGAGGATGCTGTGGAGCAAGGTGAGCCAAGACACAGGCTCGGTCTGTTCCCCCAAATGGGCCTCTGTGACAGGGAGTGGAGGGAGTCAGTGTGTTCTGGTTCTGTCACCCAGGCCCTGGGCTGTGCCCTGGATAGGACGTGTTCTCCTAAGAGCTCAGAAAAGCTTTGTTGTAAGCAGCATTGTTCCCATTTTATAGAGAAAAAGACTGAGGTTCTGAGAGGGCTGGGTGATTTGCCTGGGCAAGAACAGTGGCCTCGAATTGGACCTTGCGTCTCCCAAGCTGCAAAGCACCAGCTGCCCTCCCTGTGGGATGAGGAGGGTGGCCAGGCCGCCGGAGATGGGGATGGGTAAGAGAGAGAGTCCAGTCAGGTCCAGATGGGGAGGGATGTGGTGGCACATGGCTGGGGGAGTCTTGGGGTTCCTATAGCGCCCTCAGTGGACGACATTGCCTTGAGCTGCTCCTCTCCTCTCCTCCACACTGTGGGAAGGGCTGCTGAGGCGCAAGCTGGAGCCTGGTGGATCTTCCTGCTCCCCACCACCTGTCTCTCTGGGTCCCTCCGAGAGCATCCTTCAAAGAAGTGTTTGTCCCTCTGGCATTTCAAAAGGGCTTCGACCACAGTACGGCTAACCTGAAAGCTCTCACTTGAAACTTCAGAACTGCTGTGCCTGTGTGTGACTCCCGCTTATGCCACAGATATGGGCCGGGTGCCTACTGTGTTTCAGGCTCTTGAGATTCATCTTTGAGCAAAACTGACAGTCCTGCCCTCACAGAGCACAGGTTCTATAGTGTGACAGTAACAAGCTACGTAAGAAGTATGCTGTGCATTAGGAAGTGACAGTGGTAGGGGAGAGATGGAGCAGGAGGAAGGTGATGGAGACGCAGGGGCCAGGCAGGCACGGGCTGCTAATGTAGACAGGGGAATGAGGGGACACCTTGGAAAGAGGGTGATAGCTGAGCCCAGGCTTGAAGTTGATGGCAGGGGTGCCAGGCCATGCCAACGATCCAGAGAGAGGCCCTTTAGTGAGGAGCCCAGCAGGCCCAGGAAGGGCACAGGCCAGCTCACTAGCCTGGAGGAAATGAAGCAAAGAGAAGCAGACAGGTGACATGAGAAGTAACTGGGGCCAGATAGGGAGGGCCTGAAGACTCTGTAGGCACCAGGACTTTTAGTGGGGGTGAGACAGGGAGCCCAGGAGCCCCCAGAGCAAAGGAAGACCATGCTGTGCCTCAGCTATGGAAATAGGTATCCCATGAACCTCTGCGCTAAGTTCACAGGGACTCCATCATGTTATGCAGGCCAAAACCTTAGTACAATCCCTGATTCTTCCTTCTTCACCCCCACACCCGGCCCACTGGAAGTCATGCTGGCCCCGTCTGCGCAGCACATACAGAACTCATCTACTTCTTCTCAACTCCACACGACCTGTGCCACTCCTATGTTCTCTGCACCTGGCACCAGAGCTGAGCCCGGAGTGCAGGTGCTCTCTTAAAAGCTGGCAGGGAACAGGAAAAGCAAGGTGGAAGCAGAGGAAGCTAAGAGGAGGAAATTGTGCATTCAAGGCCACTGCCGCAGGGATTGAGGTTCGGCTCCACCCAGGCCTGTGTCTCACCAAAAGATGGGCGGCCAGGCACACGAGGCTCATGGGTGCAGCAGGCTGCAGGTATAAGTCCAGAGTCTGGGTGTGGCGTTTGGACAGTGCTGGTGGGACAATGATGCGGATGCACAGGAGACAATGCGGCAGCTGCTCAAAGAATCAAAACTGAAACTACCTCTTGCTGCAGACGTCCCATTTGCTCAGTATTCACTCCCCCAAGAAGTTAAAGCAGGCTCTCAGGAGCTACACATCTTCCCACACGGGTCACAGTAGCACGGGTCACAGTAGCTAAAGTCACGTGGCCTCAGGCAGCCGGACGGGTATGTGACACACGCCACAGCGCGGATGAACGTTGAGGATGTCATGTTAGGAAACTAAGCCAGTCACAAAGAACTGATGTCGTATGACCACTCGTATACGAGACACCTAGAGTAGTCACATTTACAGAAGCAGAAGGCAGAATAAGGTTGCTGGGGGTTTGGCTGAAGGAAATGGGGAGTTGGTGTTTAATGGGGATGGAATTTCTGGGGAGATGAAGTTCAGGAGGCGGAGGGTGGCGATAATTGTACAACAGTGTGAGTATACTTCCTGCCACGGAGCTGTGCACTGAAAAGTGAAGATGGGCAGTTTTATGTTAAATGTATTTTGCCATCATTAAGAACTTTTGGGCTGGCCAAATAGCTCAGCGGATTAAAGCGCCTGCAAGCAGGAACAGGGGTTGGGGGTTCGATCTCCGGGCCTGTGCCCGGGGTGTGCTGAGATAACAAAATTGAGACTGGGCATTGTGGCGTACACCTGTAATCCCAGCTCTTGGGAGGCTGTAAACAGGTGGATTGCTACGATTCCGATTTGGTAGTGAGACCCTGAATACCTTGTAGAGGAAGACGAAGACAAAGATGAAGACAAAGATGAACTTTTACAAAGTGCAGCCTTGCCCACGTCACAGTCGACCCATCTGGAAAGGCAGCAGGAGATAGGAACTGCTCTTAGGAGTGCTCCCTGGTGGGGGAGCTGCTCTTAGGAGCGCCCCCTGATGGGAAGGATGCACAGAGGGCTGCTGGCGACTGCCTGCCCCTCCCATGAAGACGCCAAGGACATCACTGGGGAAATGAGTGGAGATGGAGCAAACGACTCAGGGTGCAATCCTGGGTCAAGAGGACCAGGAGAATGTGGGAGCAGCCTGGGAGTGGCAGCAACGGAGGGGCTGTGTTGTTGAAGACAGAGAAAGCCTTCTAGGAGGAAGGGACAGCCAGCAATGTCAAACACTGCACGCAAGCTGACGCTGTCCCCATCTGACTACTGCTCTGCTAGCTATTTTTAGATACCCCTTTCCCGAGGTCACCATGCCCTCCAAGCTGAATGGAGAGCCCAGCTCCAGGGCCTCCACGGAGGGCTAAGTCTCACCCACATCCTCCCTTGGATGGGAGAGTAGCTCAATTGGATTTGGGCAGAGCTTACTACATTTGGATTGAAAAAAGTAAAAGCCACTTGGCCTTTTAATGAAGATGAGTTCAGCCCTTTAGATAAATGAGGCCTAGATGTTTTCGAGAAGGCAAGGTCAGGCCAGGGAGATAGCTCAGTAGAATAGGCACTTGCCTGGCAAGCGAAAGGTCCTGAGTTCAATCCTTGGTATCAAAAAAAGAAAAAAGAAAAGGCAAGGTCATTTCCTCCCTACCTTGAGCATAAACCCACCAATATCTTTCTCTGAAGCACAGAATCAGGCCCTCCTGAAGCCCTCCTGTTCAAGGGTCTCACGTGTCCTTTGTCATCCGAGTGCCCCCTCTAGATGCGTCATGTTCTCTCTGCCGTCTGCTCTACGATCCCTCTTCTGACTAGTGTCCTATGTCTCTGACCAGCTCCAAGGAAATGAGAGAGTGCAGCCTGTCTCGGGCACCTACTTTGCACTGTCTTGCAGCCATGGAGTGACAAGTGTCACACAGCACTGCGACAGCAGCCCTGGAGCCCCATTACTTGGCAGAGGGGGAGACCAAGGTCAGGGTTGTCAGAGTTTATGTGGTTTGCCCAAGGTCGGGTGGCCTAGAACTGACAGGAGACCCCCATCCAGGGTAAGTTCACCCCCGCTTTCTGGATTCCCAGGGGGCCCCTCTCAGCACAGGGCGGGGCTGGGCCTTTCAGTCTGTCGTGACCCCACCCCAAGTTCCCTGGCTTCTCACTCATCGCTGCACAGCGGAATGTGTTCAGGGAGCGCCCCTCTGCTGGTCTTCCCCCCAAGATGTAGGCGTGCCGGTGGAGAGGAGGGAAGAAGCCTCAGTGAGGAAGGAACCTTTGGTGTCTCTGACAGACTCTTGGCCTCACTGTGCCCCCCAACAGCCCTGGCAGCGACACTTAAGAGCTGGGCAGGGAGCAGTAGCTTAGTGGAGAAAGGGGCCGCTGCTCTGAAGCTTCATTTAGAATATGGCGCAGACATAACAATTACATGTGAGTTTATTTGGCTTGGCTTCCTGGAAGGGTGTGAAGAGCCAACGATGGAGACTTTGGAGGTGGCTGACCCTCTCCCAAGGCTACCTTCCAGCACCTCTTCAGGGCCACACAGCAGACGGAGCCCCTGAAGAATCAGTACGACCCAGGTGTTGCACCTATCATACCTTGCTGCCACCAGCTTGGCCTAAGGACTCCATCCTGGGCCAGTGAATGAGCCAGGGTCCTACCCCAGCTACCTGGGAGATTGACTAGTTAAGGAAAACTAAATTTTGTTTTATTTGGGGGATTCTGGGTATTTCCATATACTCTACAATACTAGGCATTATTTTTATTAGAAGAGGTGCCATTTTAAGCCAGTAAATATATGAAGGAATGTTCAATGCTACTGGCCATTAGGGCAACGCAAAGGAAAAAACATCACTGAGATTCCCTCTTACTCCAGGAGCAGCCATCGTCAAGAAATCAAATAATAACAAATGCTGGCAAGGCTGCTGGGGAAAAGGGACCCTTCTACGTTATTGTGGGAATGTAAACTCGTACAGATTTGCTCTACAGACCAGGATGGCGATCCCTCAAAAATAAAAGTAGAAATTCCATTTGACTCAGTTATTCCCCTTCTAGGTGTTGTCCTAGAGTTAAAGACATCCTATTACGGTGGCACATAGGTGCCCGTGTTTATAGCAATGCAGTTCGTAACAGCTAAATTTTGGAAGCAAGCTAAGTGGGTCCTGGGGGACGCAAAGCCCAGCACCCCTCCAGAGCACCTGCAGCTGCCTTCTTCTGGGCCTCAGGGCGGGCTCCCCCTGTGAGTGAAGTAGCACCGGGTCCTTGGCAGCTCCTGCTCTAAGGGCCTCTCCAGCAGCGCTGAGGTTGGCGAGCGCACAAGGGGGCCCACAGCGCTTCTTCCTGCTCTTCTGTTCTCAGTGGCTGCTGGTTGGGCTCTGGCAGGGAGACCTGGGCATGCATTCTTTTTTTTTTGTGTGTGTGTGTGTGTGTGTGTGTGTGTGGTACCAGGGATTGAACTCAGTACCTTGCGCTTGCCAGGCAGGCATTTATTCTACTGAGCTATCTCCCCAGGCCTGCATTCTAAGAACTACTTGGCGACACCACCTCAAGGCACAAGTGATGTTCTCATTTTAGCACAGCCATAGTACAAGGACCGCCATGGAGATTTCATTTCTTAAAAATTACCAGACAGCTGGGGAGATAACTCAGTAGAATAAGAGCTTGTCTGGCAAGCATAGGGTTCTGAGTTCAATCCTCGGTACCACAATAAAAAAGAAAAAAAAATCAGTCAAAAGTTACCAGACAAAGCATTCACAGTTAAGATTTTTTAAATTGACATGAAAAATACATAACCTAAAATGTATTGCCATTTTAAGCTCTTCTTCTTTGGGTACTGGACATTGAACCCAGGGCTTTGAGCGTACCAAGTACACAGTACTCTACAACTGAGCTACACTCTAGCCCCATTTTCAACCACTTTTAAGTGTACAATTCAGTGATATTAAATACATTTATATCCAGGCTTCCTGGTACATTTCTATAATACCAGCACTTGGGAGGCTGAGGCAGGAGCATCGTCATGAACTCAAGGCCAGTCTAGGCTACAAAAGTGAGTTCAAGCCTGGACAGAACTGCGTAGTGAAACCTTGTCTCAAAAAAGATGTAAATTGGGAGCTAGGGAGATGGCTCAGTAGAATAAGCACTTGCCTGGCAAGCGCAAGTATCTGAGTTCAGTCCCCGGTTCTGCCAAAAAAAAAAAAAAAAAGATGTAAATAAATTCATAGTGCTTTGTAATCACCACCACCCAGCTCCAGAATTTTTGTCATCTTCTCAAACTAAAACTTTGACCACATTAGACAGCAGTAGCCCCATCCTCACTCCTCCTAGCCCTAAGCAACTACCACTCCACCTCCTGTCTCTCTGATTTTGACTCCCCTAGGTACCTCACATGAGTAGAGTCATGCAGGGTTGTCGTCTGGTGACACACTATGTGTCTTAGCATAATGTGTTAGGATCATCCCATGGTGTGGCATGTATCAGAATTCCCTTTCAAGACTGTACAATCTTCCGGTGTATATTTATCTATCCATTCATCATTGGACAGACACACAGACTGCCTGTGGTAAATAACGTTGTCAGGAACATGAACGTGCAAATATGTCTTTAAGTTCCTGATTTCAATTCTTTTGGGTATATACCCAGAAATGGAATTGCTGGACCATATATAAAGTTATCTAATTTAAATTTTTTGAGGACCATACTGTTTTCCATAGTAGGTTAAGATTCTGAAGAATGCCATCATTAAAGGATTTAAAGACATACAGAAGCATGTGTCACATGTTCTTAAATTGGATAATCAATAATAATCCCAATATCAGTCACAGTGGACACTTACTGAATGCTAAGTAGGTGGTGGCTCTGGGATGGGCACCTCTTGTGTGTGCTGTACAACATCTATGCCATTGCCGTGGCCCTGCAAATGCAGAAAAGGAAGCTGGGAAGGTTAGGCAAAGGGCCGGTGAGATAGCTCAGTGGACTAAGTGCCTGCGTGGCAAGCGCAGGGACAGGGTTTCATCCTTGTCACCACACACCACAGTCCACACTGATCCCACACCAGGCTCATGAAGCCAGGCACCGAGACTGGGCGTGGTGATGCCCGGCTCTAACCCCAGATCTGGGGAGGCTGAGAACAAAAGCATCACTACAGTGAGACCCTGCACCAAATACATTAAAAATTAAAAAGAAAAAAAAAGTTAGGCAACTGCCGAGACTAGGGCAGGATGCCCTCCGGCAGAAGGGACCAGGATAACAGAATGTCACAAGCGTATTCTGGCCACTACACTATCTGTGGCCCTTATTTCTCTCTCTTTCTTCCTGAAGTTCATTCTGTGTCCAGCTCATTCATCTTCTGTTTCAAATCCTTTTCCGTCATGTCTACAAAGCAGAGGGCGGGCTGGGGAGATAGCTCAGTAGAATAAGCACTTGCCTGGAATGTGCAAGGTCCCGAGTTCAATCCCTGGTACCACAAAAAAAAAAAAAAAAGCAGAGGGCAGCAGTGGGCCAATAGCAGCCAAGCCTCCTGGAGTCTGGGGCTGCCCACTGCTGGATGGGGGGCACCTGACGGTCACCAGCAATCCCCTGCCCTTCCCCCATGCCAGCCACCCTGACCACTGGCCTTCTGCTCTCTGCGGCCTCAGACCCTAGCAAAGATGTTGCTAAAGGGCTGGGGAGATGGCTCAGTGGTCTAAAGCACCTACTTGAAACAAGCTTGGCAAAGCACAGGGACCGCGGTTCGATCCCCAGCGCCGCATGCCAGCCAGCCCCGCCCCCTGGTGGGCTGAGCTGGCCACACACACACACAATAAATAAATGTAATAAATAAAAATAAATAAATATTTTTTAAAAAAAAGATGTTGCTAAAGACCTAGTGCTGTGTCTTAATGGTCACACCTCCCAAGGAAGGCCTGGGACAGAGCAGGTGTTCTTCAAGTTGCCAGGGATAAAGGGGTCCAAGGAAGAGCCGAGGGTCCTTCACACAGTCATGAAGGGGAAGCCATAAGGATCTACTGCCCTTGCGTTTCCTGGCAGATTTGACCACCTGGTAGCCGTAGAGCGTGCCAGAAGGGCTGCCGATGGCAATTACTGCAACGCCAGGAAGAGGAACACAAAGCACTTAGTGGATCCCATCGACGAGCTTTTCCTCGCAGCACAGAAGATTCCTGGAATCTCATCAGCGGGTAAGTGGGAGTCTCGGCGACCTGCACTCGAACGTGCCAGCACTAAATGTCCTCCTATTAACTGTAAGAGAGGGCAGGAGAGCGTTGCATGGGGGCTATTACTTTCCAGGCCAAAGACGTTCTTTATTAGTCTGTCTAGACACTAATGACACAGCCATTTAGAAATGTGACATTCCCACAGAGAGGAAAGTGACACTTCCTAGTTGCTAGAACCTAAAGGAGTAAGACCAATGAAAAAACAGTAACAACAATAAAATTGAGATGCTGCATATTGTTTTCGTCATATAGGATGAAATTTGTTTCATATTATTTTATGAGACATCTATTTATTATTTATTTATTTATTTATTTGGTACAGGGTCTCACTATGCAGTTCAGACTTATAGCGATTCTCCTCTCTTAGCCTCCCTAGCATATGCCACGACACTTGGTTTCAGTGGCTGGTATGGTGTGCCCAAGTTTCCAGGGCTGGCATGGCCTATGGTACTGGGAATCAAACCCAGGTCCTTGTGCTTGCCAGGCAGGCGCTTAGACCACCGAGCTATCTCCCCTGCTCAACATCCTAATTTTTAAATATCGAATGCATGATTTCTATAGGATTATTGTTAGCAATATAATAATGTGATAGTGTTTATGCAAAACTTTATGGTTTTGAGACAGATCTTGTGTTGTTTACATCTTTTAAAAATCCTGTGAGCACCCAGGCATGGTGGTACACACCTGTGTTCCCAGCTACTTGGGAGGCTGAGGCAGGAGGCTTGCAAGTTTGTGACCAGCCTGGGCAACTTAGAAAGACCTAAGATGTTTGAAATGCAGTGAGATAGTGAGGTTAAGCTTGATAGCCTAAATCGTTTGATAATAACAATAAGCTTGTCTTCTGGATGGTTAACAACCTAAGTTTGCAGACCAAAATTAGAGAAAAAGGAGGGCTACAAGGAAAGCCAACATTTTGGCCCTAGCCTTCTAAGGTCAATTAAGACTCAGGACATATGAGAACTTGTACTGTAACGTCATGTACCTCGGTAGTGTCCCAAATTTTCTGATCAAGAAGATTATGGGGCCAAAGAGGAAAGTGATCGATGACGTAGAGTGGTCCTAAGGAGAGTCACATGGGGAGAAGACACTCTCTCAGGCTTTCACAGAGAGCACATTGGCCAAGCATTGGCCGTGACTCATCCACATGGCTGACACTGACAAAGGTTCTACAATCTGAGGTACAGAATCTCAGAATAAATCCTGAGGGCATTTCACTGACCTTCTCAGACAAAAAAGCTACAACTCTTGTTGCACAGGTCCTGCTTTACCTTGGTCTTAACCATCCAGTAGAAAAGTATGAAGACAAAATATAGAAAGTAAAGCCATGTTGTTATGTTGAGCTGTAGGGGACTCAGGTCAATAATTTCTGACATTGCCAGTTAAACAGAAGACCCAATGCTATTATGGGCTACTGGACTCTTTTAGAATATTTTGCTGAGTTTACACACCTATAATATTCAATAACGGAACTTAGAAAAGATGGGGTATACCGATGAATGTCCATTTTGTATCTGTGCATTCAAAGTGGTTAGGATAGATATATAGTTGCATTCTCTTAATGAATAGAATGATTTGTTCTAATGGTGTTTGTAAATAGGATCACAAGTCCACATCTTGTACAGCAATTAACCACTAAGAAGAATATATGCAGTGTATTATTTGTTGAAACTGTACTTCCGATTTGATTTGAAACTGTCTCATTGCTATATGTTTATCAATAAAACTTTGAAAAGAAAAAAAAATAAAATAAAAAATAAATAAATAAATAAATAAAAAAGAAAGAAAGAAAGAAAGACCTGCTCTCAAAATTGAAAAATTAAAAGGCAGGGATGTAGCTTAGTGCCAAAGTCCTGGGTCCAACCCTCTGTAGCATAAAAAGACAAAAAGCTGGGAAGGGGGCGGGTGTAGAAAAGCAGTCCAAAGAAATGTCCTCCACGGAGACAGGTCTCAGGCTAGGGGCACTAAGGCCTGTCTGTCCTCTGCCCCTTCCTCTCCACCCAAACACTCAGGAGTGCTTCCCAGACACATTAGTCCTCTTTGGCTTTGAGGTTTTGAGGAGCCAGTCATTAGAAAGTTTCTTCAAAGCGCTGGGGCTTTCCCAGAACAGGCTGTGGGTGTGGCACTCACAGCAGGGCTGGCAGGGCTGACGCTGAGCTTCCTGTCACTCAGTGCCAGGCAAGGAGATGACCCAAGGCCTTTAGAGAGATCCCCAGGGTGGAGAATCTCAGAGTCCAGAGGGACTATCAGCAATCAGGACTGGAAGGAGCTGCAGAAGCCCCCCGCCCCAGCACCCACTGAACCAGCTCCACCTCCGCTGCCCCACCCCAAGACACTGAGGAGCCAGGTGGAGACAGCTGGTCACTGCTGCAGGCTACCCGTAGCAGGCCCAAGAACACTTCCATGTAGTGTTATTTTCTGTCATTCAGTGGGTTGGCATCAGTCTCGAAAACCGTTCTGAGAAAATTGACCAGGGTGTGAAAGGCAGGTGTTAGGTCACTCATAGGTGTCCCATTCTCTTGGCTGAGTCTGGTCTCCGATGTTGGAGCTGGGTCTGCCCTGGTTCCCCACGCCACCATCCCACATACAAGCAAGCCCACACACAGTGTGTTAGGGTGTAGCCCAAGAATGACACTCAAAACTTTCAGCTGCTCGGAGGCAGAGTTTCCTGACTGGATCACAGGGGCCCTGTGGCAGACTGCGCTGATAGGAGGCAAGACCTGGTCTCTGGGCCATGGCCTGCAAGCGTTTTCTCTTGTCCCTAGCTCCTGCCTTCTCTCTCAGCTTCCTGGCTGCCTGGACGTGAGCAGCCTTCCTCTACCAGGCCTTTCTTCCAAGCCACTTCTGCCCCGGTGCCAGCTGGCCGTGCATAAACTGAGACCTCTGAAACCAAAAACCAAAATAAGCCTCTCCTCCTTGAAGTTGTGGGTGTCAGTTATGGTGTCTCAGCAGGAAGGTGATCAAGACTCAGTGATACACCTGTTCTATAAGATCAAGAGGTCCAGTCTTCTGTCCGTGAGGTACTGGGACACGTACCTTGCATAAAAGGTTATTGATATGGCTCTCACTCCATTGCCTAGGCAGGTCCCAAACTCCTGGGCTCAAATAGTCCTGCCTCAGCCTCCCCAGTATCTGGGGTTGGAACTATAGATATACACACTGTGCCCATGTGCTCCAACCTGGGCTAGAAAGCAGCTTGTAGGTTTAAAATACCTCGAAGGTGACCTTCTCAGACCCAAAAGCTACAACTCTTGTTGCACAGGTCCTGCTTTACCTTGGTCTTAACCATCCAGTAGAAAAGTATGAAGACGAAATATAG